CCTCTTCCCTTACACTGAGCTTTTACAAAGAATCTCTTAAGGAAAGAAAGAAAATGGTAAGTTCATAAAGAGTTGGGGGCCAGGGACCAGCAAAGACATCTTGTAACTGCTGTAGTTTCCAGCACAGTATGAATTACCAAATTATCTTTCTATAAATGGGTAATATTTTGCTGGATGCTTTCATTCATTCAAGTCTGCTAATATCCTTACCGTGTCATCCTATCTTAAAAAACAAAAACAACGTATGATTTTAGTAAATAAAGTATTTTCCTCCTACTGCAGCAAGGTTGGGCAATCTACATCTGTAGCGATACTGCCTCACAAACCCAAGGAGGGGTCGCTATGAGTCGGGTCCAACTTGACGGCATGTAACAACAACACAATAGCAGCATGAGCACCTTTAGAACCTAGCTAGGTTTGGGATAGAGGTAGAGGCTGTTCAAAGGAAGTTGTTGTTGTTGTTGTTGTTTGCCGTCGAGTAGACCCCGACTCTTAGCGACCCCTCCTTGGGTTTCCGAGGCAGTATCACTACGGAAGTAGGATTGCCCAACCTTCCTTCCGAGGAGTGGCTGGTGGGTTTGAACCGCCAGCCTTCTGGTTAGCAGTCAAGTGCCTTAGCCACTATGCTACCAGAAGAGGAGATGCCAAATAGGAAATTCTGATAGGGAGGGCCAAGTCAGTTGGCTCCCTGCTCTAACTTGCACTGCTACCACTGTGAGAATTCAATTAAAAGTATATCAATTGATTGTCCTTACTAGGGTTGATATATCTAGGAAGCTTGGGAGGTCTGTGGATGTACATGAAGCAGACAGAGGGTCCTATGCTTGTTTCGTGGGTCTTTCCTGAGCACCTGAGCACTAGAGTTGGACGAGCTGGTGGGGATAGGGAGTGAGGAGACCAGAAGAAATGTGCAATGTTTTCTCTTCTTGTCTCTTGCCATAGGCAATTCTGAGCCAGGACTGCCCCATGGAAACCCGGATGAATTCAACCCAGAAGCCCATAAAGGAATTTCCCCTGGGGGAAGACAGCGATGACGATGACGAGCCTGGCAGTGAGGAGTAACAGCAGAAAGTGGTTCCTGAGCCTGCACATATGCGAGACTCGAGACTCGTGACCACCTCTGCCCTGAAGTCTTATCACCTGGGCTGCTCAACTGGCTTCACTTCTCTCCCCTGGGAATCTCCTTTCCATCCCTCCCTTGGGTGCCATTCCCAGTTCTCTCCTCACCTGTGTAATCATGACTGACCCTTTGTGTTTTGATGCCTATCTCTTGTGGGAGGACAGGCTGCTGTGAGGCTGATTAAACATGAGGTGTGATGGGTTCTGCAAGGGATGACTCATTTCCTGGAGATAACAGTGAGCTCAGGTGTGCTTCTGAAACCAGCAGGCCACCGGCAAACCTCTTTTTATCTATTGTCATATTTTTCTTTGGCACATAGCAAACAGATTATAAGGGCTTTGTCCTCTGTTGCTTCGACATGTTCCTCCCTGGATTTTCCTACCTGAGTTGAGAAAGCATCCTCAATTTTGTACTGCTGCCAAATTGCCAAAAGTTTTTTTTTTTTTTTGGCCTGGTTTTTATAAGTTGAGTGGCTTTTCTGTGGGTAAATATAGTTGCTAAAAGTAACTTTGCGCTCAGTGAATGGGGTCTTCCTATTTTCTTCATTATCAAATGGAAACAGAAAGCAAGCAATGGGTCTTGTGCTTGAGTTACCAACATTCTCATTATTTCCCCTACGTGTTACTACCTTTCCTGAGCCTCTTAGACTCTAGGAAAAGATCAGGAAAAACAATCTATTAACCCTAAGATTTCATGAGAAGAGTGAAGGCAAGTTGTCCTGAAATCTCAACAGTGGATTTCATAATATGAGGGTTATAATGAGGCATTGTTCATACTAGTGAGTAAGTTATTACCTAATGAAGACATTGTATAGTAGACACTCTCTTGTAGCAAAAGAGAGTATGTGGGCAAATACAGTAGATACTATAAATATTAGGACATCTTGCTACCTTTGGAAATAGCTGAGTGATAGGGTTTAAAAGAGATGGGACACATGGTCCTTACCCTTAAGTAGCTTCCCATCTGTTTTGGAAAACAAGAAACACATATAAAAATATCAATGCTGCAAATTGGCATGCATACTGTGTTGAGGAACAAGGAGGCAGGAAGGCACAGAGCTTGTGTGGGGAACAATGGCAGAGGCAGAGGCAGGAATGTGCAGATCCGCTGTGAGAACTCGGACTTTCCCTGGAATGATACCAACTCTGATGACTACACTTTTCTGCAGGAGTTTGGTGGGTTCGGCACAAATCCCTGATTATGTGAACATATTCAAGATAAACCTCACCATGAATCCTTATCATATGGACAATGGAACCTCAGGTTACCTGGTTTATGGATATGTTTTTGTTGTTGTTGCTGTTAACTGCCATCAAGTTGGCCCCTGCCTCATGGTGACCCCATACCCAATAGAATAGAAGCTGTCTGGTTGTTTGTCATACCCATGGTTGGTTACGGAGCTGATAATTGTCATCCATAGAGTTTTCATCAGTTGATTTTGGAAGTAGATAGGGAGGCCCTAGTATGACTTAGTCTAAAAGCTCCACTGAAACCTGCTCAGCATTGTAGTAACACACAAGCATCCACTGGTCAGGAATCGAACCCAGGTCTCCTGCACTGAAGGTGAGAATTCTACCTCTGAAGCACCTCTGCCCCCAAGGATATGTTTTTAGAGGTTTAGTATTATCTAGATTTTGCTGACACAGCCAGATATACTTATATTACCATTTAGTTAGAATGACATCTGTCTCAGATTTGAAGGAGACTAAAGGTAAAATTGGGGAGCTCTGGTAGTGTAGTGCCTAAGGCTGCTAACCAGAAGGATGGCAGTTCAAACCCACCCACCACTTCTCGGAAGGAAGGTTGGGCAATCTACTTCTGTAGTGATATTGCCTCGGAAACCCAAGGAGGGGTAGCTATGAGTTGGAGCCGACTGGACGGCACATCACAACAATAACAACAACAAACGTAAAATTAGAAAACTATCAAAATATGTGAGCTGTAACTAAAAAGGCAGAATGAGAGAGTTGCCACTGGGATTCCTGGAAAAGGGTGGGAATGGGATAGCGTGGGCTGGGGAGGGGTTGTTGTTGTTGTTGTTAGGCGCCATCCTGTTGTCTCCGTCTCATAGCGACCTTATACACAGCAGAGTGAAGCACCGCCCGGTCCGCGTCAACTCCTCGATCACTGCTATACGTGAGCCCATCGCCGCAGCCACTGTGTCAATCCATCTCATTAAGGGCCTTCCCCTTTTTAGTCGACCCTCCACCTTACCACATATGACATCCTTCTCCAGGGAATGGTCCCTTCTGATAACATGACCGAAGTAGGTGAGAGGAAGTCTGGCCATTTTCGCTTCCAAGGAGCATTCCAGCTGCACTTCCTCCAGAACGGGGAAGAGCAGGGAGCACATAAAATAGCATTTGAAGTAAAGGATGGGCTTGGTATGGAAATTATCAACAAGTTAAAAGCACAGGATGATGTTTTTAAAGAGGAACTCATGCATGACCTGCCATTTAAAATTATTTAAGCAATATACAAACATTGGGAAAAGGAGAATCCAGTGGCTATAATTTTAGACTTGCAAAATACTGTTGACAAGAGTCAATACCTAACACTACAAAGGAAGTCAGAGGTCATTTTTTGTTGTAGATCAGAAATAGGTTAAGGACCATTCCATCATGTACGGAAGAATATAGAAAGAAGAATTCCACAAAAATAGAAATTAAATTAGTCTTTATTAATGGCTTTATAAAGGAGCTCTGGTAGTGTAGTGGTTAAGGCATTTGGCTGCTAACTAAAATGCCGGTGATTTGAACCTACCAGTTACTCTGTGGAAGAAAGATGAGGGAGTCTGCTTCCGCAAAGATTTACAACCTTGGAATCTCAGTGGGGTCACTATGAATCAGAATAGACTCAATGGACATGAGTTTGGTTTTTGGTTTAATAGCTTTATAACTGATAGGAAGAAGAGAATGCACAGTAAACATACATTCACAGGTGATTCTAAGTTCTTCTAGGAATAAAAATCGAACTCAACAACAAGGAGCTACAAGAAGCTTTCTATAAAAGTGGTATAAAATAGCAGATGGCCTCCACTTAGGAACAATTAAAGATATGCATTGTCTGGTTATGAAAAGGAGGGGTGCATAGATTATAAACATACTTAAAAGATGGTGGACTCTGCGCTACCAATTATGATGCAGCAAAGGAGATAGTGGAACCAATGTGCTATTGTGTTCAATAGGCCAGAAAAAGTCAGACATTGTCAGGCAGAGTGTTGGAAGCAAACCAGAAGACATTGTCTTTTCAAAGTACAAATGCATGATGTTTCCACACTCGGGATACCATGTGCAGCCACAGTAGCACAAATGAAGGTAGTGCCTGTGGAGCCAGACAAGTGCAAAAAAGACACATGTGATGGTGGACGGGTGGCAGGGAAAGTGGTGTGGAGAGACATGGGAGAATTCTTATGAGGGGGAACTCAAATCCAAGGAGGATATGATTGAAGAGGTTGAAGCCTGTAAAATAAATAAATAAATAGATAGATAGATAGATAAATAAATGCCCAGTCCTGGTAGCTATGGAATCTATGGAGCATAGCTCTACTCTACTCTGACTCACACAGGGTCTCCATGACTTGGCAGTATCCAGATTGTGTGTGTGTGTATGTGTGTGTGTTTGGCTGGTGGTGAATGAGGCTGTTCTACTTAGGCAGCTCACTATTCCAAGATACAGCCCAACTTGAAAAATAAACTTTCTAGAAAGACTTGTCGCTATTCCTGCAGGCAGCTTGGTGATCCTCGTACAATGACTCTGTCCTCTGAAGTTGTCAAGAAGAAAGGGCAATGCAACCCTTCCACATAGCATCCCTGGCTGCTCCTCAGATGTGCTAGAGTATCTCTGTCATCTTAAATACCTGCTTATCCTCTCAAATAGTCTGAGTGTCATGGGCAGTGCTTCAGGCCCACTGTGTTATACAACTCAGTCCTGCTGAGTTCACCCCCATAACCTTGCCTATAGAAGGAAACCCTTTCTCTGGAAACATGGAGAATTAGGGCAAAGGTGCTTTGGCACACAGAATATACTGGCTTTTAGGATATTCATAGATATGTGCAACTATCACCATAGTCAATTTTAGAACATTTCCATCACTTCGAAAAGAAACCCTGTATCTTTTAATTATCATTCCCTTACCTCCCCATCCTTAAGCAACTAGTCATCTACTTTCCGTCTATATAGATCTGTCTATTCTGCACATTTCATATGAATGGAATCATATAATATGTGGTCCTTTATGTCTAGCTTCTTTCACTTAGCATAATGTTTTCAAGTCTGACCTATGTTCAGCCTGTATGAGTACTTTATCCCTTTTTATGGCTGAATAATATTCCATCTGTGCATCTGCTGTGCTGGGGTTTCCCAGTGTGGCTCTCTGGAACTGGATCTCCAGTTTTCTGCATTCAGTATCTTCCTTTTTTCTTGGTAGGCTTCCACATTTTGGTGGCGCATAGCCTCAAATAACTTCCTCAGATGGATTCTTGGGAGGTAAAAAATTTGAGACATGAGATGTCTAAAAATGTCATACTAAATTGATAGTTGTTTAGGTGCAGAATTCTGGGTCACAAATAATTTTTTATTAGGATTTTGAATGTTTTCTTCCTTTCTCCCCTAGATTTCAGGGTTAGTGGTGAGAAGGATGAGACAGTCTGCTTCCCTGAAAATGTACAGCCTTGGAAACCCTATGGGGCAGTTCTACTCAGTCCTACACAGTCACTATGACTCAGAATCAACTTGATGGCAATGAGTTTGGTTTTAGTTTTGGGTTGAGTGCCATCTGACTCTCTATCCTTTGAATGGGATCTGCTGTTGTTTTTCACTTTTAGGATCTTATTCCAGGTATTCTTAACTTTGACAACAATGAGAATTTTTTTTTTTTTTTTTTTTGGTAAAATATACACAAAGTAAAGTTTA